CTTTATATATACACGTAGTAAATATACACAGTACACATACATGTATTATATAAAATAAAAATGTTATTTTGGATGCGATTAATATTTTTATTTAAAACCGATAAAACTGGCCCATTTATTATTTATTTTCTTAATCTTATTGCAAGCACATGTTGTATTTATGCATGCAAGTATATATTATATTAAAAAATGTATATTTAATATAATTACATTTTTTAAAATATTTTTTAAAATGTTATGTTTTTTATTTAAAACCAATTTATTTTAAAACCACTGACCTATTTATTATTTATTTTCTTTATCTTATTCACACGTGTAGCAGTGTGCAATAATTAATATTTTAAATATCATGCTACACTGTTGTTTATTCAACATTGTTCATTCAGCAAGTGACATCCAGTTATCTACGTTATCATCTTGGAATTCAATATTTATATATTATTATGTTTTATATTTAAGTGTTCAAGTGGTACCCAATTATCATCTTTGAAATTGTAAAATAAATTATACAAGAGAGAGAGAGAGAGTTTATTAATATATATATTTTAAAACATTAGAATTTCGCCACTTGATGACTTAAATATGAGACATAATGAGAACATAATGACAAAAATGTAGCATACTATTATCGGAATTGTTTATTTTTTGCTTAATTTTCCTCGTACTATTAAAAAAAATACAGTATGCAGTATGGATGCACAGAATGGATGGAACAAAAGAGAATCAAAATTCCAAAAAGATGCTTTTTTGCATTCACAGATGCACAGATTGTCTTTAGGGCCCTGTGAGCTAACACATCAATCTCATCTCCTCCTGTTCTGTCTTTCTCAGAATCTCTTTAACATGTACATAGTTCCCCTCTGTTGAACACACACTTTGAGAGAGATTATCAAGATGAATGGCAGTGTTAGGAGCCGCATTCAGAGCAGACCCCCATCTGACAGCTTTATTTGGGAGACTCTAAATATTTGTGGCTGTTCTACTGCTGTGTTAACATTTCAGTCCATTTGGTCTGTCAGATGCCTGCCACGAAAAAACGACAACCTTTTCTCTTCACACTCTTCCCAGCTAATATCTGCTGTTCAAATATGTCCAGTGTGAACTTGTAACCTCTGGAAGTTCCCAACAAGCTGGCTCATCTGCAAACACGCACATATATTTCTCAGGGTAAGCGAGGTTACATTCTCTCGCCGACCTCTCGGTTTATTGATTTGTTGAGAGTTTTACTTTTCCTCTTTCACACTCACACATTTTTTGGCTGTTACTGTTACAGAAAACAGGACACGTCGAAATGGATGGATTTCCTTTTCACCGGAACAATTTACACCCCCTTTATCACTTAGTCATGCAAACAGAACGAGAGTGAGTCGATTCTAAAGTCGTATCAGATTTGTTTTGACAGATGGCTACTGTTAATGTCATCAAACTGCTGCTTTTGGGTTTGCTTACGGTTAAGAGATTTGAACATGTGGACATGAATGACACTTCAAATTATGTGATTTATGGAGGAGAGATGTGCTATTACTTTTTAAGCTATTAGGGATGCACAATATATTGGTACCGTATTGATTATTGGCCAACATTAGCCTTCATCCATATTGATCGGTACTGGATATTTAAGACCGCACATCGGCTGGACAGACTTGAAATCAGGGCCGTTTCTAGCCAATTTGACGCCCTAGGCGAAATCCCTATTGCCCCCCCCCCCAAATTATATATATAATTATTTTCAGACACCAGTTGTTTGTCACATTCAAATTGGTTGTCATAGTAACGACACTAATTTGTGGAGATTCAGTGCAGCACTGACAGAGCCCACTGATCTAATGGCGTTGTTGAGCGCTCCAAATGCAAACTTTGCATGCAACAATCAGGCAGCAATTGACAGCACTCTGATCTAGTGGCATACAAGCATCGTCAGATTGACAGTACTCTAGCCCAATAATGTTGGGGGATCCAGTGGGGGCGGCAGTCATATTTCAGGGTGACCGTGCCACTCTTTATCACAACCCTGGTAAAAGTGCCAGTACGTGCGCTCATTGGCACCCCTTCAGCTAGCTCGCCTATGCCTAGAAACGGCCCTGCTTGAAATGTACGTTACTATAATATAAGCAACATTTTTCGTGTAAAAAGTGAGACTCCAACAAATGCATATGCAATAAGGTCAGCCACAAAAATAACTTTGTCCATACTTTTTCATCTTAATTTTTCACTGCATCATAAATCCTGACAGTAGTTTTTTAGTGTCAGATTTTCTGATCTGAAATGTTGAATGTTGGTCTTGCATGACCAAAATAGGACTTTGCTTAAAATTAATTTTTAAAAACCCTAATCATTCAATAACACTTGTATCATTTAAAATAATTGATTTTTAGCAATTTATTGTAAATTTATTTAGATAAAAGTACAGTAAAAAAAAAATCATATGTATTAATAAAACTGATTTTAAAAGTTTTTCCTATTTATTTTCTTAATTTCTTTTTTACATTTATGTACTTATATAAAATATACATTACTATTATATTATATTTAAAAAAATTTTTTTTTTTTTTTAAGTTTTTAAAAACGATAAAACTGAACGATTTATTATTTATTTTCTTAATATTATTGCAAGCAACTTTTGTATTTATGAATTTTTTTCTCTACATTTTGGCCTTTTGTCTACACTGAGACAGTGGAAAAAAAAAGTAAACTGCATGTGGGTTTGGAATGACATCAGGGTGAGTAAATAAATACAGAATCTTTTTTTTATTTTTATTAATTGACATAAATTGCATCATTTGAACTTGAATTC